TGTGGATGAAGAGATTTGCCATGTTCGGCAAGTCATGGGCGAGGAAATTATTCTTTGAATTTTTTTTTCCTCCATAAAATAAAATATTTTTAAAATGTAGAAGTATTTTTTTGGAAAAAACCTAAGTAAATTTATTTTTAATACTCTGTAGTAAAAATAAGAAATATGTAAACAATGTAAAATTTGAAAAAAACCTAAATCTTTTATTTTTTTAGTTTATTTTTTAAATAAGAAATATTTTTAAAAAGAGTATAGTTTATAAAAATATAAAAAAATAAATTTAAATATTTAAATAATTTTGAAATATTTTTTATTATTTTATTTGAAAAAATATAAGTAAACTAAATTTAAATAATTAAAATGTGTAAAAAGAAGTAAAATTGATAAAAACAATGACTTGTCACTATATGACATGTCACTCCACTCTCATGCCACGCGCTGACTGGACTGTTTTTTATTGATTGAAACTTTCCATGTCTACGTGTATCATTTTATTTCTTACCTGCCATTGGGCCTGTTTGGGAATATTGTTAGTAATTAGCGTTAGCGTTTTGAAAAAGCTATCTACGGGAAGCGTTTAGCGTTAGCGTTTTCAAAGTAATATGCACCGCTAAAATTTTATCTAAAACGCTAACGCTAATTTCTAACGCTATTCCCAAACAGACCCATTATGAATGCTCTAAGTAAGGTCACTTTACAAATGTCATATTTTCCTCAATCAATGTATTTTTCTTTAAAAGCAATTTGATATTAAAATGAAATGAAGAATTTTAAAGGACAATTTTGTCAATTCTTAGCCATAAAGCAAAACGTGTGGATTACAACTAACATTTTTGGAGTGTATTACCTTCGTTCCAGTGTATTTGTCTAGTTTGACTTTTTCGAGTCAAACTGGACAAACTTTGAACTCCAATTACTTTCAATTTATATTGCATATTAGCATAATGAAATACAATTTTGAAAGTTTCCAATACGATAATTCAATAAATTTATTTTTATGTTAAAATGTCTTACGATTTTTATTTAATTAAAGATTAAAATTTGTCTAATTTGACTGGAAAAAATCAAATTGGACAGATACACTGAGACCGGAAGAAGTATTTATCAATTCCAATTATTTTACACGGAGTATCTCTTTAAACACTTTTAATCATCATTTTGGGCCGATGTTTTTTTATCGTTTGCCTTGTTTTTCACTCCCCCTTTTTTCCATTTGTTAGTTGTTACTCTGCAAAACCATGAAAAGGAAGGATTGAAGCGCACGCTGTTCTGGAAAAGCAAAGAATGAGACAGTGGGGGGGAAAAGATACAGACCAAAAGCCAATTGCAAAAACACATTTGATGGTTCACATTTTCCCCCCTTTTGCACCAAATCTGCAGCAAAATAGTGTGCTTTTTGAACCCCCTTTTTTTCCCTGAAAATTTATTTACTCCCTCCGTCCGTAAATATATCTCGCATTTGCTTTTTCATTAGTCCTGGGTACTTTTGTTTGTGTCGGTAAAAATTCAGTTCTCCATGATCGTATAAAACATGTTGGTTCAGATTGTCACTTTAATTTATACGAGATGTAGTCATGGCATGCACTATGACTATACATCATGTCCCTCTTCAGAACAATTAGCAGACATTCTCACGAAGTCGCTTTCGCTAGTTTCATTTGAGTACTTATGCTCCAAGTTGCCTCTGGCCTTCGCTGATCACCTTGCGGGGGATATTAGGAAATAGATTATTATTATTTAATTTCTTTCCTTATTTATTTGATTCGTTATTGTATTTGTTTACTTTATTTCTTTTTCTACCATACTTGGATTCGAACTCTCTCATATGTAATTCTTATAAATAGAGATATATCGTTCATAATGCAACAAGACTAATTATTATCAAATTGTATCAAAGTGCTTGTTTGGGAACAGCGTTAGCGATTAGCGTTAGCGTTTTGAAAAAGCTATCTACGGGCAGCGTTTAGCGTTAGCGTTTTCAAAGCGATCTGCACCGTTAAAATTTTATCCAAAATGCTAACGCTAATCTCTAACGCTATTCCCAAACAGGCCCAAAGAGAAAGGAGGATTTGTGATGCTCTAAAGTTATACATATTAGAACTAACCTCATTTAAAAGAGAAGCTTTTTCATATTTCATCATCCATTACCAAATATTGTCTTGGGGGTTCTTTGTTTATGGAGAAATTTACTTAAATAACGCTAAAATATAGTGAATTTTCCTATATAGCACTACAAGTTTTAATTCTCATAACTAGATTCTAATTAAATAATTATTAATTTTAGTATGCTAAAATAACCCTTATATGATTTTATATTTTATTGCTCTATCTCGTCCTACTGTCCTTCGACAGCTATCGATCACAAAATGCTAACATCAGTGCCCACCGCCACTCCCTAAATATCCATTATACATGATTTAATGACTTCCATATTTTCATTTTAATAATGTCTTTGTGTGGTTGATAATGTCTACATGTTCATTCCCAAGACATAGTCAGTTAAAAAAAGACATTGTTGCAATTATATATATCTGCTGCATTAGCCATCGATGTCTCCGGTTAGTAGACAATGTCTATAAATTTTATAATATCTCATGCATGTAATTTTTACAATGTGCCGTATTAGTGAATAATGTTCATAATTTTTACAATTTCCATCAAAAGGAAAATATAAGTAGACAAATCAAGGAGAGAAAGTTGATCAAAAGGAGAAAAAAGATACAAGGGAGTTTTAGTAAATAGATATTACTCCGTATTAATAATTAATTAATCAACTTAATGTTAATTTTGAAAAAAATAGTTATTCGGTGCTATTTGGGGAATAGTGTTAAGCTTTGGTGCTACTTGGAGCAAATTTCATTTGTGTATGAGTACCTTTTCACAAATATTTCTTTATTTGTTTAATCTTCATTATGTTAGTTTTAAATTGAAGACTAAAAGTATAAATTTATATCAACCATGTATTCTGGTCATGCTGGCTTGACAGATAACACAAGAACAATGACTATAGCTATGGATTTTGATTCCGACCAGCGACTATTGGTGTGGACGATGGTTGTGGTGGGCGTCCACTCCAACGAACAAATGGCACATATACAGCGGCATCTGACATTAGCTATGGTCCTTATGACACATACACAGCGGCATCTTCCGAGACACTATTCCTAGAATATGTCCTAAAACATAAGGACCATAAAATAACATAGATGTGATTTATACTTTTTATTAATATACTAATTTGTAATTAAAATAATTTTAAAAATGATAGAATTTTATACATCATTCGGAGTGTGACATCAAATATGGGACGAAGGGAGTATTTATAGTACAATGACAATCCCAACTTTTTTTTAAATAATGGTATATAATTTTTTTAAAAAGAGATGAAACCCAACACGTTCACCCGAAGGAAAATATATTACGGAGTAAACTTTAGTCGATACATAGAAAGATCATGCACTTAGTACTTAGGAGTGCTTTATGTTTAGTACAAGTAAAATTTGCACTAGATAGTATTAATATATAGTTTGAACAATGTCTAGTAGCGGGAACAATGTCTAGTGATGATGGATATTTAGTTTGAACAATGTCCAGTGGCAATAGATATTTACTTGAACAATAACCAGTAGAAAATGACCATGTTACTAAATTAAAATATAAAAATATATGATATTAGATTAAGAGAGTGATTATGTTTTAATTATATTTATCTAAATTCACCTAAATATTATTGTTTTTGTTGCAAATTTGAACTTTGGGAAAGGTGGTGGCTTGGGGTGAAAGAAGGGCATTAAATAAAATTAGGAAGAAAGTAAAAGGAGATGGGACGTTTGAGAGACAGCTTAACCTCCGGTCCATTCAAAGTCAAGTCCAACCCAAACAGTTTCAAAAAAGCGACTCTGATGATCTGATGCAGACGCAGCAGTGGCTTCCCATTTTGTCTCTATTGTGCTTACACCCTCACTGTTTCCCCATTTATTTAATGTACTCTTCTGTCTCCATATGCTTATTATACCACCAGACCCCTGCCCTGCCATTGCCAACCTGCCTTCCCAATTCATTTAAAGAAAAGGAAAATGCTAGGCGTACCGCAAAAGTGTATCCCAAACATCCCCCAATCCTCCATCACCACACAAAAAAGGGAAGAAAATTTCAAAAAAAAAGTAAAAAATAAAAATAAAATAAAAGAAAATGTGGTGTACATTTGGGGTACATCTTTGGTGTACCCCTAGCATATCCCTTCATTTAATTTTCAAACTATATTGCCATATTTTAGTCTTATTTTCATTTATTTAAAAATTGTCGTAAATTTAAAATATAAATATACTCTCTCATCTTTCCTAAATGAATTATACATTACACAAAATAAAGTAAAATCTCAAAATTTTTTCACTTCATTTTTTGCATAGATTGGTGTAGAAATAAAAAAATAAAATTTACATATTTTAAAAGTATATCAAAAGTTTCTACTCCGTGTGTGTATATATAAATATATATATATATATATATATATATATATATATATATATATATATATATATATATATATATATATATATATATTGGTTCTGGTGAGAATGCGATCTTAGGAGAGAAATGAAAATAAATCTGATGCTTTAATTTGTAAGATCTAAAGGTCAGAATTGCATCAAAACTAGATGCACCAAAATGGTTTAAAAATGCATCACGTCAAAATGCATCAAAATCCTTCGAAAATGCAATATATGGAAATCTGAGCGCAGGATGCAATCTGAGCCGCACGATGCATCAGATCCAACGGCTAGATTTTATTCTCATTTCTCTCCACAAGGACATTCTCACAGGAACCGGCTCCTATATATATGTATATGTGTGTGTGTGTGTGTGTGTATATATATATATATACACGCATATGTATGTATGTATGTATGTATGTATAGTAGCGTCTAAAATGACACTAGTTACTTTATTATACACCAGTTATGTTAGCATATATATTTATTTACTACCATATATGTAATTAGTTTCCTTGGTAATTAGTTTCCTTGTTAGTAGTCCTTTCCATACTTCGAGTAGGACTTGGCACATGTATATATACGTTGTGAATATTGAATGAAAGGCAGTTGAGTTTTTCCAAACTTCTACATGGTATCAGAGCCAATTTCCCGAGAACTTCTCAAACCCTAGTTTTTTTCTCACGCATGGTGCCGCCACCGTTGCTTCGCCGGGCCGCCACACCACGGTCGCCCCTCTTCGATCGGCTCACGTCGATCACCACCGCTGCAGCGCCGGCTCACGTCGGACTCATAATCACCGTCTCACGCCGGTACTATCTTCGTTTCCATGGCAAGCGAAGGAACAAAGAAGGTCAGGCTCATCCACGACCCTACCTCTCCGTACTATATCCACCCGTCCAAAAGTGCGGGTAATTCCTTGACGAAGCATCTTCTCAAAGGTGATAATTATGATATTTGGGAGAAAACAATTATTAACGCTCTAGAAGGGCGTAGCAGAGCAGGTTTTCTCAATCCTTCCGGGTTTCCTAAACCCACTGATGAACAGGAATTGGCAGCATGGAAAGCTAATAATTCCATAATTTGTTCTTGGAAGACATTGTCACAACTACTTGTGTAGGTTGGAAGGTAATAGAGGGTATTTTAACGAGTACTTAATACCAATCTAGACTTCTGGTCTATACCTCCAAGGTTACCTGGAGCATAAGTGGTTAACTTTAGACTCAAAGTTAGAAACGCAGTTTTCCCTGTTTGACTGGTTGTCTATTATAACCAATTTGTGACTTTGTGGAAAAAGCTATATGGATCTGTTGATCCAACGGGTGGCTGCCGGTGTGAGGCTGCGACTTTGATTCGGGCGCGCGAGGAACAGGAGAAGACTCATCACTTTTTGCTCGGGCTCGACGACGAACAGTTCGGTCACATCCGATCTCAGATTATTGCCACCGAACCTGTTCCGGACATACACCGGGCTTATGCACTCATCGTTCAAGAGGAACGCCACAAGAGCATTGTCCGTGGCCGAGATGACCGTACGGACGCTCTCGCCTTTGCCATACAGCGTCCGGCTCCTACCTTGGGTCGTGGAGACCCCCCCATTATTCGTGCACACATTGTGGAAAAGACGGCCATTCCGTGGATTGGTGCTATCAATTGCATGGGTATCCGCCCGGGAAGGGCCGTGGAGGTCGCGGAACTGCATCCGGCCGAGGGGGTCGCGGCGGTGGCAGAACGCCGTCCGGCGGCAGTAGTGCCCCTGGCCGTGGGTCTGGCCGAGGGATAGGATCAGCGACAGGGGGAGCAAATGCAGCCACCAATTCCAACGCCCTAGGCCTCACACCTGATCAGATGACTCGGTTACTTTCCATGCTCGATGTCTCTTCTTCCGACAAGGATACTGGGTCTAATGGTGAGGCATCGGCTCGTGAGTGGCTTATTGACAGTGGCGCCTCTCATAACATGACTGGTAATATCTCCTTTTTAACTGATGTGGTTCCCATGGCCCCCTGTGTCATCACGTTGCCCAATGGCACACAGACTACAGCCACTCGATGTGGCCGTGTGCGGCTCTCACCCGAAGTAGTGCTTCGGGGCATTTTACTTGTTCCTCATCTGCAGTGCAATCTTATTTCTGTTGGTTGTCTCATTCGAGATACCTCTTGTCTTGTTATTTTTAACAAAAACTGTTGTGTCATACAGGATTGTGTCACGAAGATGGAGATTGGACGGGGTGATGCACACAATGGAGTTTTCCTGTTTCGTCCATGCTCTACAGCATTTGCTACCCAAGTGGATCCTTCTCTCCTTCATAAACGCTTGGGGCATCCATCTGTTCAAGTTTTGTCGTCTCTTATTCCTTCTGCCAGTAGCTCTAAACTTAAATTATTACAATCATGTGAAATTTGTTTCCAATCCAAACAAGTTCGTAGTT